ATTTGCACATGGACAGATCTTTCGCCTACACATTTGAATAAATAATAATAATAAATAATAAATAAAAATAAAAAATAATAATAATAATAATAATAATAATAATAATAATAATAATAATAATAATAATAATAATAATACTTTATTATTATTATAAAAAAGAAGCGCTAAACCACAAGGGCTATACAGCAATAATATCTTTATTTACTATAAGCACATGTACAAAATATAACAGACCATAGTTTGACATCTGTGGAAAATTACATTTATCTGAATGTATCATTTTGTTACAATAACATAAATGAACAAAGATAATTATTATTTATCAGTTAGACAATAGGAATTTGGACAAAACCCAGGTCGCCCAAAAAAATTTCCCCCTTCGATTAAACCCACCACTGTCATATCCACAAGTTGCCTGGACCTATTAATTATAAATAAAAGAGCATCAACAAGAATTCTGGTAAATATATAAGTTTGTGGACTGTATATTAAATTAATAAAGGATTATATATATACACATAACAGAAGGAGAATATCTTAATATCACTCACCAATTTGACTGTCTATACATGAGAATAACACTGGCCAGAGTTACAACATCACAGACTTATCTGAGGTTCCTGGAGCTGTCTTGTCTAGTCGCCTGATATCTCAAGTTATACAGGAATACACACCCAACAATTTCGCCTCCTATTTGAGAGGTGACAGCCCAATTTTACCTTTAGAGCACGAAAAATTCTTCCCATTCACTAATGTCTGTTACTCAATTCAAACAAAAAATGGCGAGTCTCGTCTGCGCAGGCGCAGGCTTCCCATTTTTTATGACATAATTTTTTATTAAATACAGTATGGCCATCTATTTACATATAACTACTGTATTTCTGGAAAATATATACAGTACTTTCCACAACATCAATGACATACTACTATATAGAAAGCCGCTTGTTACGCAGAACATTTCGGGCAAATTAGTTCAATATTGCCACAGGATGCGACCCACACCAGTCGACTAATACTCAAGTACCTATTTTACTGATGGGTGAACATGGACAGCAGCCAGCAGGTGTCTTTAGGAAACACACCTAATATTTCCACCCGTACCAGGGATCGAACCACAGGCCTCTGTGTGAGCTGAGAGCGCTAGCGATCGAGCTCCAAGAACTTGTTCTGTTACCTGGAATATACCTGGACCGTACACACAGGCGAGAAAAATTTGAAGCCAGTTGGATGAGGCGTCTTCGAGTTATGAGCAAAATAAAATTGGAAGGTTGAAGAAATAAAACGAAAAATCAAGCCATTTCTTAAAGGTGCCCCTTCGGAGACACTTAATAATAAAGAGAAGCCAGAAAGGACCCAGTGATGTGGTAAGTAGTATCCCCATATTTACTGATGCAAGTGAGGGGGCTAGTGTTCCCATCAAGTGGATCTAGACTCCTCTTCTTTAGATCAAACCTATTGATAAATTAGACACATGTGCAACTCTTGGGTATCTTTATTGATACCCAAGAGTTGCACATGTGTCTAATTTATCAACATGTCGGTTCTCTGAACTATTCATCTACAGATCAAACCTAATTACCTCCCATTCCCAAGGTTCCATATGATCCCTACAGACTTTGTGCTTTCCCTTGTTAATAATAATAAATAAATAATAATAATAATAATAATAATAATAATAATAATAATAATAATAATAATAATAATAATAATAATAATGCAAACTGAGCCCTGGAAGAGAGAGGTAATGTCTGAGGAAACTTGAGACACTGGTTTACCCAGTCATCGAGGGACTGTCTGTTTTAGTTCCATTTAGATCCTTAATATTGTCCCCCAGGATGCGACCCACACCAGTCGACTAACACCCAGGTACCTACATGTTTGCTAGGTGAACGGGATAACGGGTAAGGAAACACGCCCAGTGTTTCTACCCTTACCGAGGATCGTACCATGGACCCTCAGCGTGTGAAGCGAGACCATTGCCTACCAGATCAAGGGCTGCCTGGGGGGAAGGCATTAACTATTAGGTTAGTAAGTAAGTTTATTTAGGCACAGGTACACATAAGTACAATTAAGTCAGACAAAGTGACTTATTTCCACTGGGGTCCTATTTCCATGGTGTTAATTCCATTAACCATCATTTTATGGTTAATTGGTCTTAAAGCCAATCGACTATCAGTGTACATACCCTGTGCCAACCTATGAACATGGTTGGTTGGTTACTTGGGCTTAAAACCTTTCGACACACGAAGGTCATTAATTAAGGCTGCCTGTCACCTGTTCACCACAAATACAAACTTTCTTATCTCAAATATGAGCAAACTGGGATTAAAGTAAGCTCTAAATGTATACGTTCTGAGATACATAACCCTCCATGTATACAGTTCATACAAAGTGACGAGTTAGGTTAGGTAAGATTGGTTAGGAAATACGAAAAATATTTCCTAACCAATCTGACGACGTTCCGGTCTTAGCCGGACAGAAACGTCGTCGTATTATTATCATTAAAATCAAGGGGGAAGTGCTAAACCCGTAGGATTATACAGCGCCTGTGGGGGGGATGGAAGGTATTCAGGGTTATTTCAGGGATCTGGAGTACAGATCCAGTTCCCTAGATCAAGAGCTCCTCACCAGCATCAAGGAACCTTCCTTGAAGGGAAACATCGTCGTAAACTCTTCTCTCCTATGTGCGGGTTGCGTGGAGCTTTTGGTCATCTGACCGAGGCCTTCCAATGGCTTACCAGTCTACCCCTAGAATAAATATTTTCATTTTCTTTTTACAATATACAACGAAAACGAGAAACTTCTGCGTATAGTGGGTAAACAGTTATAAATTTTGTGCTCTCCAAGTGTGACTCACGAAATCGTAATGACACGATTGCAAACAAACCATACCACAGGCGGGGTTAGAACCCGCGATCAGAGAGTCATGAAACTCCAGACCGTCGCGTCTGGAGTTTTGAGACTCTCTGATCGCGGGTTCTAACCCTGCCCGTGGTATGGTTTCTCTACAAGTAGTCTAGCATATTGGTATAGCAAAGGTGCAAGAACATTCAGACTCTCGACTAGACACACAGGTGTATATTTACTGCTAGGCGACAAGGAGAAAAAAATTCCTCATACGTCTTCCAAGGCTTGGGAATCGAACTTGTTACTTATTGGGTGTAAGCCGAACGTTTTGACCACTGAGCTACCTGTCACCCTCAGAGTTTATTAATACGTACATGGAAAAGCGCTAAATTTGCAGTCATACAGCAATTAAGAAAAGGGAGGATATTATACTTGACCCTAAGGAACGTGAGGGTAGTTCCGATTCCTCTTACCAAGAGCCCTTCACCCACATTAAGGCACCTCCCACCATAGACCCCAGTGAAAATAAATCCCATTATCTGACTTTTTTGGGTTATCCTAGGTAATTTACACTATGTATGGTAATTGTACTTATGTATACCTAGGCCTAAATAAACTTACTTATTTACCCCCATCCCCTCTTAAATGACTCATTGGGGTGAGGAGGCCGCTTATAATAATAATAATAATAATAATAATAATAATAATAATAATAATAATAATAATAATAATAATAATAATAATAATAATAATAATAATAATAATATTTAACAGCAGTGCTAGTGTTTAGACATACTGTTGATGTTTTAAACTTTAGCTCTGTTGATGACAAACTCAGCTTACATACTGAGTGCCCAGGGTTCGATCCCGGCACGAGTGGAAACGATGCGCTTGTTTCCCTACAGGCCCCGTGGCCTGGCTGGCAAAGCTCTCCCTTCACACACGGAGATCCCAGGTTCTATTCCCGGCGGGGTAGAAACATTTCGACGCGTTTCCTTACACCTTTTGTCCTGTTCGCCTAGCAGCAAGTAGGTACATGGGTGTTAGTCGACTGGTGTGGGTCGCATCCTGGGGGACAACATTGAGGACCCCAATGGAAATAAGACAGTCCTGGATGACGCAATGGGTGCGTAACCCTCACCCGGGTTAAAAATCCCAACAAAATCTTTATCTTAACTTATAATTGCCCCACTTCACATAGGGGGCAATAAAGCAATAGCAAAGAACTACAGACCAATAGCGCTAACGTCCCATATCATAAAACTCTTTGAAAGGGTTCTAAGAAGCAAGATCGCCACTCATCTAGATACCTATCATTGACACAACCCAGGGCAGCATGGGTTTAGAGCAGGTCGCTTCTGTCTGTCCCAACTACTGGACCACTATGACAAGGTCCTGGATGCTCTAGAAGACAAAGAGAATGCAGATGTAATATGCACAGACTTTGCAAAAGCTTTTAACAAGTGTGACCATGGTCTAATAGCGTACAAAATACATGATAATGGAATAACAGGAAAAGTTGGTAGATGGATCTATAATTTCCTAACAAATAGAACACAAAAAGTAGTAGTAAACAGAGTAAAGTCTGAGGCGGCTACGGTGAAAAGCTCTGTTCCACAAGGCACAGTACTCGGTCCCATCTTGTTCCTCATCCTTATATTTGACATAGACAAGGATGTCAGCCACAGCACCGTGTCTGCCTTTGCAGAAGACACCCGAATTTGCATGACAGTGTCTTCCATAAGAAGTTCAATGATGAGAAATTTCTGATATGGAAAATGTGAGGAATTTAAAACTACATGGGAGTATAAAATAAATTCCAACCACACAATAGAGCGAAAAACTAAAGTAAAAGACCTGGGAGTGATCATATCAGAGGATCATTTTGGTATGACTGATCCATGCTCCTGGCCAATCACAGCAGTGTAAATAAAGATGCATGTGGGGGGGGAAAGGAGCGCCAGTCCAGTATCTATCTTATCTACTGCTCGCGGAGTAAGGTGAATTTTTATTTAGGTAGAGTTACACAATTCTAGATTATTACAGTTGTTTTACATAGTAACACATGTGTAAAACTGCGTTAAGATATTTTAGGTTGAATAATTCTGGGTTTCCTGGGTGTACGTAAAAATAATGTTGGTTTAAAGTTGGCGGGTGAGTATGACGCCATGTTGAACCAGCTGTTAAGAACCACAACAACAATGGCCGAGGCTCCTGCTGACAACACTCAACCTCTCAAGTATTCTATCCACAAATTCTCCACTTATTCTTCCAATTATGTTCCCGAGTAAGTGACCACACAGAGAGTGATGGAGGAAGTTTAATTTAATGAGAGGTACGGGAGGTGTGGAATTTTTGGAGATTCAAAATCAGTGTGTAAGATATTTTATGAATGTGGACATTAGCTCTTTTTACATTACCTGAAAAATGAGATGAAATTCGGCCATTCTGTTATCACAATTCCCCAGTTGTCATCCCAAAGATAATGGGGTAAAAATGGCAGCATCGCTTGCATCTGCTCTTAGTTTTATCACGTGCTTCCTTTCTTAAAATTTCTGGAAGATTGTAGGGATTTTAGCAAATTGTGGAGACGTGTTAAACTTACTTCTAAAAAGCTTTCTGAAATAATCAGTTTTAAAAATAGGAATATTGGTAGTGTAATAAAAAAGTTGCAAATAAGATTTGCGTACAAAATGGTATTAAACGCGAAATATACATGTTAGGAATATTAGTGGTAGAAGGATGTAAGATATAGGATTTTGTTGGATTTTTTAACCCAGAGGATTATTAGTAACTCAGGATAACCCAATAAAGTGCGTACATCATTTGTGACTGACTGTCTTATTTCCATTAGAGTCCTGTAAGTCCCTCCCCCAGGATGTAACCCAAAACAGTTGACCAAAACCCAGGTACCTACTGACTGCTATGTGAACAGGGGCAGCAGGTGTAAGGAAACATGCCCAACATTTCATCCATGCCAGGGAGGGCTCCTGGTCCCTCATTGTGTGAGCTGAGGATCAAGTCATGAGTTGTTGTAACTGTTTTTTTTTTTTTTAAGATTTTGGGTGGAAGGTGGTGAGAGTCTGTAAATAAAACACACAATATTGGTTATGGCATCTTATTGTGTAGATGTTTCGTCCACCGTGGATTTTATCAATTTGCAGAGTAAAATGCTATAACCTTGTTTGGGACTAGGCTACAGGGGTGGTAACCTCTAGAAGCAAGTACAGGTAGCCTACAGATACAGGTAACCTGCATTGTGTCTTATATACCTACTGTAGGTATAATCTACCATTGTATTATTGTAGCCAGACTCCCACTTGATAGAGGGTGGTAGGAATCTATCTGGATGGAAGGTGATGGGAGACCCACTGGGTGCAGGGTGATGAGTCCCACTTTAGGTAAGTGGTGGTGAGACTCCCAGTGTAGTTGGAGGTTGGTAGGAGTCACTGTAGATAGAGGGTGGTGTGACTTATTGTGGGTGGAGCATGTGTAGATTGGTTATACGTCACTAACCTCACTGTGTGTGAATTTTTTTTGGGTTATCCTAGGTAATTTACACTATGTATGATAATTGTACTTATGTGTACCAGTGTCTAAATAAACTTATATGTTGTACTTGGAGCTGTTCATGACCTTTTCCCTACTCTATTTATCCACTCATGCTATAACAGTGGCTGGAAATTTCTCTTTGGTCAGCATAAAATCAGTAGGGTGGCCCTCTTGCCCCTTCACTTTCCTGATTAGCCATTAAAAAAAGTCACTGAGGACCTGACTACTGAGCTGAATATCTGGTTTTTGGATGACGGCACACTTGTGGACACCACAGAGTTCCTGCTAGAGGATTATCAGAAATACTGTAGATCATAGTGAGAAGCTAGGTTTTGCTGAACCCCTCAATGTGAGCTAGTGTGTAAGCCCAGTCAGGCCTGGCACTGGTGCTGCCACCTGGTAGATTGAGTTGACACCTAGGGCTCAGCTCAGGTTACTCTGATTCTCTCTCATTAACTGGTAAGAAGGAGGACAAGCTGGGCATATCCTCGTCTCACTCTCTCGCTTGGCCTTCGGACTGGCATGGGGCTACAACAAAACTCACTGCGTGCCCATTAACCCAGTAAGCTTAAGGCTTGCCTTCAAGCCTTTTATTATACCAACCATGCTGCTATAACAGTGCCTACAAAAACCATTGAAGTATCTGGTGGCAGAATATCACTCTTCTCCAGCCAACACACCATTGAGGAAGTCACAACTATCCTGCAAGGAGTATGAGTCATTAATCCCACTGATTGTACTCCTTGGTTTTCCACTTGGGTCTAATGCTAATGCTGAGATTCTGAAAAAAAAAAAAAATTGATTTTGTTGGGATGGGTATCATGATCAATAATACTAATGGCCAAGATGTCTAATATCTCCTCACCAGATGCCTCTCCCTCCCATAGCTAACCTGTATTTTTGCAGTGTTTTCCATTCTTTGCCAGCCCCAAACTGAGAGTATGACAGCTTTCTCAACTTCATGCTAGGATAAAGTCCTAAAGCTTTTCTTGGATAAATCACAGTTGGAGCAAGTTACACTTAAAGTCGGATAGGTAGACTGGGCATGCATATAGCCTCTCAGATTGCCTTCTTGTCCTCTACTAGATCCAGTGAGCTGGTGAAGGGAATTCTTCCAGAATATATATGTAATTTGGTAGGGGTGGATGACCTCAGTTATATTAGCGGCACCAGCATGTGGGATACATCCTTTCATCACAGACAAGTCCAACTGAAACTTTAGCTCACAAATAACCTGCTTTGAATACCCCCATCATGAAAGAGACTGGCAGATGTCTTGACCCACAGACTCTTTGCATTAAAGTGATTCTCTGCCTTGTTACTCTTATTCACACTGAATACATGCATGTTTATGGCAGAGTAGTAGCTGACCAGCATTGTCTGCATGGTCTGATCTGTACAAGTTCCAAAGGATGGCATGTCATAGTGAATTCAACAAGATCAAGAGAAGAAGCCTTGTTGCAGCACAGTGTATGGGGCTACACTTATGCATCTATCCTGGTTGACACCTATTTCCCATTCATTGCTGGTCAGCTGGGTGGTGCTGTAAATCACAGGGAAGAACACAGGCTCAGCAGTATGATCAGAATCCCTTGGTCCCTGGAAAAACAATAAAAAAGCATGCCATGGTTTTCCTCAAGGAGTTGGAGTTCAGGCTCATCAAAATCATCAGAGAGTTAAGGGCCTGTCGTCTTTCTCTTTCAGCTCCTCAGTGTGGTGATCTAAAGGGAAATTACTTGCAACATCTCGGGTTTCTAGCCTGTGTCTGAGGAATCTGAGGAGCTCCACAACTTTTACGAAATATTCAAAACTATTAAATGTAAATGAATATCAATATTTTTTAAAAAATTGATCAATTGGTACTTATGTCACCCAATAACAACATGAACCATGTATTCAGAAAACTTCACCACTGCTGAAAATTTCAAGCATTTCCTAATTCTGCATGTAGGTGGTAAAAGAAGAAAAGTTATTCTTAACCCGTAAACGGTCCAAACGTATATACAGTGGACCCCCGGTATTCGATATTAATCCATTCCAGAGAGCTCATCGAATACCGATAATATCGAAAACTGAATCAATTTTCCTCATAAGAAATAATGGAAATCAAATTAATCCGTGCAAGACACCCAAAAGTATGAAAAAAAAAAAAATTTTTACTACATGAAATATTAAGTTTAATGCAATAGAATAATTACAATAACAATAAAATAATTGACACATTTAATGAAGATCTGGTGATGATTGATGGGATGGGAGGAGGGGAGAGGTGTTAGTGTTTAGAAGGGGAATCCCCTTCCATTAGGACTTGAGGTAGCAAGTCCTTTTCCGGGGTTACTTCCCTTCTTCTTTTAATGCCACTAGGACCAGCTTGAGAGTCACTGGACTTCTGTCGCACAACATAACTGGCAGCCTCACCATGCCTAATCACACTATGTATGCCACTACGATTCTTAAATCTTTCAAACCAACCTTTGCTGGCCTTAAATTCACTCATATCACCACTAGTTGCAGGCAATTTCTTTACCAAATCGTCATGCAACTACCTAGCCTTTTCACAAATGATCGCTTGAGAGATGCTATCTCCTGCTATCTGTTTTTCATTTATCCACACCAGTAACAATCTCTCAACATTTTCTAACACTTGCGGTCGCTGTTTCGTAATCACAGTTGCACCTTTTGCAAGAACAGCTTCCTTGATTGCCGTTTTCCTGGTCACTATAGTAGAGATGGTTGATTGGAGTTTATTATACAACCAGACCAGCTCCGACACACGCACTCCACTTTCGTACTTTGCAATTATCTCTTTCTTCATTTCATAAGTCATTAGCGACTTTTTTCTCGAAGGGCTGGCACTAGAAGCTTTCTTGGGGCCCATGGTGACTTATTTTGCAGAAACAAGCACCAAACACAGTGATAATATGGATAATATGGAATGTACCGAATGTATCCTTAGATGCGCGCACACTGGCTGGCTTGTAAACACTAGCACACACGGAGCAGTTCAGGCCACACGTGGACAGGTCTCGTACGAATCGTATCGAATACCGGGTTTTCAATCGAATACAGTGGACCCCCGGTTAACGATATTTTTTCACTCCAGAAGTATGTTCAGGTGCCAGTACTGACCGAATTTGTTCCCATAAGAAATATTGTGAAGTAGATTAGTCCATTTCAGACCCCCAAACATACATGTACAAACGCACTTACATAAATACACTTACATAATTGGTCGCATTCGGAGGTAATCGTTATGCGGGGGTCCACTGTACTGAGGAAAATTTTTTGCATTAAAATGCATCGAAAACCGGATTTATCGAATACCAACGTCATCGAATACCGGGGGTCCACTGTATACGTTTTTTCAACATTTGATAGTATGTAAAAAAAGTAGCTCTTCTTTTTTTTTTTACATTTGAAAATGTGTAAAATACTTTGATCTACTTTTTTTTTTGTTATATTTGAAAATATTAAAAAAAAACGTAAATATGTATACTTTTGGAGCACTACGCATGTGAACGTAGATCTGCTTGGACCGTTTACGGGTTAAAAGCCATTTTATTTACTTTAATGAGAGGAAATATTTATATAAATAAATTATACATACAGTGGACCCTCGACCAATGATGGCATCGTATAACGTTAAATCCGACTAGCGATACATTTTAACACTAACATTTTGCCTCGACTAACGCTAAAAAAACTCGACTAACGATATTCGTTCTCGGGTACCAATTAATATCGTTAGTCGAGGGTCCACTGTATTTATATTATTTTTAGTTAGTTTTGTATTGGATATTACCATACAGGTATTCAATACATAATACTGTATTGTATTTGACTTCAGGATTTGCTGAATCAAGATAAATACTTATATTAATATTGTGCACAGATAATAAACTTAAGTGTACATGTACTGTACTTATATTTTTATGCTAAATGTCTGTCTTCCAGTTTTCTGATCATAGATTTATCATGTACAGTATAGTATATGGAGAAGCTCTTTGAAATTTCAGAGAATCATTTTAAAAGTTATGTTCTTTAAGGGGAATTTAGTTTTGGATTCTTATTCTGCATTTAAATAAATTTTGAAACTTTATGGAATCATCACAGTGAACCACCCTGATCTTATCTTGTATTCACAGAAATATCCTCGAAGATAAACCAAATGATCAAGGATCTCGGTGGTCGTCTGATTCTAATAACCCTCCACAGGTAAATATTCAATGAAGATTTACAGAATTTTAATAAAAGTAAATAAATTTTTCAAAAGATGCATAAGACATATGAGACAGTATCATGTATCATGTTTTACAGAATATAGCTCAATTTGAAAATTCCATTTGACTGTACCAAGATAGAGTTATCATACATAAGTTTTTCCTAACTATGATATAAATTTGGAAGTTACCTGTACTGTATTGTATTCAGACTATTTGCATGTGTAACTAGTATTAAATTAAAGAAAACAGGTGATAACATTCTTCAGCATATAATTTACAATTAGGACAATAATAACTGTATTAGATATGTCTGAAACTCTGCAGGTAATATTGGCTTTGAAAAAATTATTTGTACTGTACCTTTTTGTATAATGTCACATGCGTACTACACAGTACTGTATTTTTGTAAATAAAATTCCATTTCTAATTACTGTCATGTTTTCTGCTGACTTATAAATTAAGTATAACTTTGCTCAAGATAAATACTTTTCATTTTTCTTACACAGAACACAGTACAGTAAATACATTGCACAGATTATGCCTAGTATATGTAGAATTGTTCATGAAGCTGATTGTTATTTTGTGACTTTTGAGTTTTCTGTGGGACATCCCATCCAGATGTTCCATATTACAAAGAAACTTGTAGGGCAGAATTGTGTTCTAATCAGAATACTGTTTATTTAGTGGTCACTACTGAGCACCAATCATAACTGAAAAGAATTGACCTTGGTGTATATAGTTCCTGTAGTTTAGAAAACACTTTTTGCATCTATTATTTGGTATATATAATTCCTATAGTGCAGGAAACAATTTTTGCATCTATTGTTTTGAATATGAATACCTGTATGTATAATAATTATAAAGTGTAAATAAGGAAGATGTGTAAATAGTGAAATGATCAGTGACAAACACTGCTTGAGCATTTTGCCTTTTGGATCAGGGAAAGAAGCAAGGTGATCACTGACGACTTGGAGGAGGTGTATACATTTTCTTTCACCATAATGGCAGTTTAATCTGAATTTGCATAGAGTGAAAAATTCATCCTCAGGTAGTGACCTTAAAATATTAGATTCCAATGAAAATAAATGGCATTATATCCTAATGAAACCTTTTGACAAGGTGCCCTGTGGAAAAATCCTTCTTTGAATCATTCACCCATACATATTGCATGCAGTACACTGGACAGGTACAGAGTATATGCTGTACACAAATATGTATTGTACATAGTATGTACACTACAGTAGGTGTCATAAGTATCTACATAAGAACATAAGAAAGAAGGAACACTGCAACAGGCCTACTGACCCATGCAGAGCAGGTTCATGTCCCCCCCCAGATAAGACCAATACCCCCCCCCCCCTGGATTAGCCCAATGACCCACCCAGTCTGGTCACCTAAACTCAAGGATGGAGCACTGCACCAGACCCAGCAGCACAAGCTAGTCAGGTCCAACTCACACCCACCCACACCCGCTCATGTATTTATCTAACCTATTTTTAAAACTACACAACGTTTTAGCCTGAATAACTGTACTCGGGAGTTTGTTCCACTCATCCACAACTCTATTACCAAACCAGTGCTTTCCTATATCCTTCCTGAATCTGAATTTTTCCAACTTGAAACCATTGCTGCGAGTCCTGTTTTGGCTGGAAATTTTCAGCACGCTATTTACATCCCCTTTATTTATTCCTGTTTTTCATTTATACACCTCGATCATATCCCACCTAATTCTACGCCTTTCGAGAGAGTGCAGTTTCAGGGCCCTCAGTCTATCCTCATAGGGAAGATTTCTGATACATGGGATCATCTTTGTCATCCTCCTCTGTACGTTTTCCAGAGCATTTATATCCATTCTGTAATACGGTGACCAGAACTGAGGAGCATAGTCTAAATGAGGCCTAACCAAGGATATATAGAGTTGAAGAACAATCTGAGGACTTCTATTATTTATACTTCTAGTTATGAAGCCAAGAATTCTGTTAGCTTTATTGCGAACACTAATGCACTGTTGTCTTGGTTTTAGATTACTGCTAACCAGAACTCCAATCAGTAGTATTAAGATCTACATTATTTAGTTTATATGTGGCATGGTTATTTAACTGTCCAACATTTAGAACTTTGCATTTGTCAATATTAAACTGCATCTGCCACTTCTCTGACCATTGCATCAGTCTATTCAAATCATCCTGGAGTGCTTTAGTGTCCTCATTAGAATGAATTGGACGGCCTGTTTTGGTGTCATCAGCAAATTTGCTTATGTCGCTATTTATTCCCTCATCTATGTCGTTTATGTAAATTGTGAACAACAACGGGCCCAACACTGACCCCTGAGGAACACCGCTTGTGACGTGCCCCCATTCTGATTTCTCCCCATTTATGCAAACTCTCTGCTGTCTATTTGTCAGCCATGCCTCTACCCAAGAAAAAATTTCTCCTCCTATTCCGTGTGCCTTAAGTTTCCTCAATAGCCTCTGGTGTGGAACTCTATCGAAAGCCTTACTGAAATCCACATACACAATATCATATTCATTACCATGATCTACCTCCTCAAACACCTTAGTGAAAAAAGTTAGTAAATTCGTAAGACAGGAACGCCCCTTTGTAAAACCGTGTTGAGATTTATTAATCAATCTGTGCCTGTCAAGATGGCTACGAATTGCTTCGGCAATTATTGATTCCATAAATTTTCCCACTATGGAGGTAAGGCTTATTGGTCTATAGTTTGAAGCCAAGGACCTGTCACCTGCCTTGTAAATAGGAATTACATTTGCCATTTTCCACTTATCAGGCACTATGCCAGTTTGTAGTGATATGTTAAAAAGATTAGCCAAAGGTATGCTAAGTTCCTCTTTACATTCTTTTAACACCCTTGTAAACAGTTCATCAAGGCCTTGGGATTTGTTAGGTTTTAGTTTCTCTATTTGTCTGAGGACCATGTCACTAGTTACCACATTCGTCCATAGTTTATCATCATCCTGTTCTACATAATCTATTATTTCAGGAATATTGCTAGTATTTTCTTGGGTGAAAACTGAGAGGAAGTAGGTATTTAGAATTTCACACATATCCTTATCATAACCTCACCATAACCTATGGTTTTAAATCATTCTTTCAATGCACTGGCCGTATCCCACCAAAGCAGGGTGGCCCCCCCCAAAAAAAACAAAAGTTTCTCTTCATAAATTTAGTATTACTGTATATATGGGAGAAAGGGTTACTAGCCTCTTGCTTCTGGCATTTTAGTCACCTCTGACGACATGCATGGCTTACAGAGGAAGAATTTTGTTCCACTTCCCTATGGAGATAAGAGGAAATAAACAAGAACAAGAACTAGTAAGGAAAGAGACAAAAACCCAGAGGGGAGTGTGAATATACAGTGGACCCCCGGTTTACGATCAGCTCCCAGTGTGACCAATTATGTAAGTGTATTTATGTAAGTGCGTTTGTACGTGTATATTTGGGGGTCTGAAATGGACTAATCTAATTCACAATATTCCTTATGGGAACAAATTCGTTCAGTAATGGCACCTGAACATACTTCTGGAATGAAATAATATCGTAAACCTGGGGTCCACTGTATATGCTTGTACATGCATGTGTAATGTAACCTAGGTGTAAGTAGAAGTAGCAAGACGTACTTGAAATCTTACATATTTCTTCTTCTTTCAACAAACCAGCCACATCCCACTGAGGCAGGGTGGCCCAAAAAGAAAAATGAAAGTTTCTCATTTTAAATTTAGTAATTTATACAAGAGAAGGGGCTACTAGCCCTTTGCTCCCAGCATTTTAGTCACCTCTTACAACATGCATGGTTTACTGAGGAAGAATTCTGTTCCACTTCCCCATGGAGATAAGAGGAAATAAACAAGAATAAGAACTAGAAAGAAAATAGAAGAAAACCCAGAGGGGTGTGTATATATATGTGCTTGTACATGTATGTGTAGTGTGACCTAAGTGTAAGTAGAAGTAGCAAGACATACCTGAAATCTTGCATGTTTATGAGACAAAAAAGAGGAATCCTACCATCATGTAAAACAATTACAGGCTTTCATTTTACACTCACTTGGTAAGACAGTAGTACCTCCCTGGGCGATTGCTGTCTACCAACCTACTACAGTGGAACCTCAAAAATCGAACTTAATCCGTTTCAGGAGCTAGTTCTAAATTCGAAAAGTTTGAAATTCGAAGCAATGTTTCCCATAAGAAATAATGGAAATACAATTAATCTGTTCCAGAAACCCAAAAATATTCACTCAAAAAATACATTTTATAGAGATTAATTAAAGTTTTACATACAACAAATACTATAGTTTTTAATTATGTATAGTAATACATATAAAATAAAATTTTTACTTACCTTTATTGAAGATTGGTGATGGCATCTGGAAGATATTGAGGAGGAGTGAGGGAGTTGGGGTTAGTGTTTGGAAGGAGAATCCCCCTCCATGAGGACTTCAGGTAAAGCCCTCTCTGGGGTTACTTCCCTTCTCTGTCTTTTAATGCCACTAGGACCAGCTTGAGAGTCACTGGACCCGTGTCTCACAAAATAACTGTCCACAGTCCTCTGTTTCTGGCGCCTCGTTAACATTTCCCTAAAATGGGACATGGTTCTGTCACTGAACTTGTTGCAAAGATGGCTTGTTTCAGCTTGCTCAGGGTGGTACTTCTGCACAAACATTTGGACATCATTCCACTTGGCACAAATCTCCTTAATCTTTGAAGAAGGCACCTCATCCACTCCCTCTTCCTCCTCCTCTGAAGCAAGTTCCTCAGCTGTGGTCTGATACTGCTCCAGATGAAGCTCTTGCAGCTCTTCAGTGGTTAGCTCTTCCCTGTGGTCCTCCACCAACTCTTCCACATCCTCACCACTCACCTCCAACCCCAGGGTGTTCCCCAATGCCACAATAGAGTCCACAACAGGCAGAGGGTGAGCTGGGTCAGGGTCAGGGTCAGCCTCAAACCCTTCAAAATCCCTCTTTTGGACACAGTCTGGTCACAATTGTCTCCAAGCAGAGTTCAAAGTCCTGGAAGTCACTCCCTCCCAAGTCTTACCTTTAAGGCTTATGGAGCTGTAGATGTTGAAGCGATTCCTCCAGAACTCTCTTAGGGTCAACTTAGTGTCTGTAGTCACTTCAAAGCACTTTTCAAACACTGCTTTTGTGTAGAGTTTTTTGAAGTTAGAAATGACCTGCTGGTCCATGAGCTGGAGGAGAGGAGTGGTGTTAGGAGGCAAGAACTTCACTTTTATAAAACTGAAGTCCTTAGACAAGAGGTCTAATAAGTTTGGAGGATGAGCAGGAGCATTGTCCATTAACAGGAGGCATTTGAGTGGCAATTTCTTTTCCTGGAGGTATTTTTTCACACTGGGGCCAAACACTTCATGGACCCACTCTTTGAAAATTTGTCTTGTGACCCATGCCGTATGATTAGCTTTCCACAAGACGCATAACTTGTTCTTAAAGACATTGTTTTTCTTAAACTGGGATTTTCTGAATGATACAAAAGTAAAGGAGGCCTGGTCACCGACCGGGCCGCGGGGGCGTTGACCCCCGGAACTCTCTCCAGGTAAACTCCAGGTAAAGGCTTCACTTTAAGATCACCACTAGCATTAGCACAGAACAAAAGAGTAAGCCTATCTTTCATAGGCTTGTGTCCTGGCAGTGCCTTTTCCTCCTGTGTGATGAAGGTCCTTTTTGGCATTTTCTTCCAAAATAAGCCTGTTTTGTCACAATTAAACACTTGTTCAGGTTTCAATTCTTCACTGTCTATGTACCCCTTAAACTCCTGTACAAACTTCTCAGCTGCCCGTTTGTCTGAACTGGCTGCCTCACCATGTCTTACAACATTGTGTATGCCACTACGCTTCTTAAATCTGTCAAACCAGCCTCTGCTGGCCTTAAATTCACTATTAGCACTGGTTCCAGGAGTTTTCTGTACCAGATCGGCATGCAACTTCCTTGCCTTTTCACAAATAATTGTCTCTGAAACACTATCACCTGCAATCTCTTTATCTTTGATCCACACCAGCAACAACTTCTCAACCTCTTCAACTATTTGTGGTCTTTTTTTTGGTTAGCATATTAACACCTTTTGCAACATCAGCTTCCTTGATTTGTTCTTTCTTTGACAAGATAGAACCAATGGTCAACTTGTTTTTCCCATGCATCCTGGCAAGCTCAACAAGTCTCACACCACTCTCATACTTCACATCTATGGTGTTTCTCACTTTCTTTACCACAGGGATACCACTAGCAAGTTTCTTTGGGCCCATGGCAGCTTATTTCACAGTCCCACAAGCACTAAAAACAACAAAATAATCATAAAATGCGTGAATGAGAGCACAGGTTAGTGTTCACTCAAGCATAAACAAAGCTAGACTGCTCACGGTGCCTGCGCGGGGATGCGGACAGAGTGGGCCGGCAGACAGGTCCCGTACCTGGCGGTCCGAAAATAGGGGCGCGTTCGATAATAGGGACGCAGTTTGTCCGAAAAAATGGTCCTATTTTCGAAACGTTCGATATGTGATACGTTCGATTTTTGAGGTTCCACTGTACCTAGGTTTGGTAATACATGTACTGACATATGTACTTGTATGTGTTCCTCATCTAAACTAGTAGTTATAGGATTACCCTTCCTCTTGATGCACTCCTTAACCTTTTCACTTTACAGACCCCAAAATTAATATTGCTTCCCGTGTCCACTTAAAAAATAAAATATTTTCTTGTTGAAACAGAAGAGAATCTTTTTATGAAGGTACTCACACCAAAAGTACAAAATTTGATGGAAAACTCAGAATTATGCAGGCAAAAAGTTAGCATTTTATGTCAATTTCATGCCTTCCGTTCTGTCGATTGAACACAAGAAACTTCCCATTTAACTATTACAACTACTCTATAAAGTGCACAGAGGTTGGTAAATTGGCCAGTTTTACACAAAATTAAAAAAATACCAATTTAAGTCCAAAGTAAGTGATATAGGTTTTCCTGGCACTAGAACATTTCCTCTATTCATTAAATCATCTACCCAGGCCCGTCTATATTACAATTGCTTTCTGTTTAAATTCATAATCACAAAAATAGAAGATTTACTCTGTTTCCCAGATAATAAAATGTAACCTGGAATGATTGGTCAATGGTCGTGGTTTATGGCATCCCAGTAATTAAATCAGACCTATTAAAAACTTATAAAACAGACCAGGGGTGTTGAGGAGCCGTACTCATATTCAGGAAAATTGGCAAAAAAATAGAATATTTCTGCTACTTTGAGCCCAATTTCAAGTTTTTCTTTCTGGAACCAAGCAGTAGTATATCTTCCATTCTATCAAATAATACCAAGAAACAGCCAATAAAACCATAAAAACTGTCTTAGAAAACACTCAGTCATTATTTTAAACCAAATACATAGAGTTTTGCTTTTCCCATTGTGCACTTTATGGGGCAGGATTTTTTTTATATTGTGCACTCACACTGTGCAGACCCATTCTCTCATATGTAGGCCAAAATTTACCAATCACAACTTATCCAAGTAAGCTGAGCTCATGACTTAGAGCTACATTTGGGACCCTGGCCTCAGTGATGTGGTTCTATGTGACAGCCACTGAAAGGGTTAAGTCTGCTAGGCACTGATAAGGGTGGCATATGAAGGATAGAAAAGGCAATACCCTCCCACACCTTCTTAACCCTTTCAGGGTCCGTCCCGTAGATCTACGGCTTTACGTTCAGGGTCCAAACCGTAAATCTACGCCATGAGCTCAGCTCACTCTGATAAACTGTGAGTGGTAAATTTGGGCCTAGATATGAGAGAATACATCTATGTGGTATGTGTGCACCACATAAAACAAATCCTGCAGCACACTGTGTATAATGAGAGAAAAAAAACTGAGACCGTGATTTTTTATTAAAACAGCGACTTTGCAGTGTTTTTTCATATGTTTTTTATAGATGTATTTGTGGTTTCCTGGTCTCATTTGATAGAATGGAAGACATATTACAGAAATAGAGATGATTTTGATTGGTTTTAGCACTGGAAATGGCTTGAAACTGAGCTCAAAGTAGCGGAAATGTTAAATTTTTGCCGATGTTCAAGAGTAAACAAATGACCTCACACGTCTAATACACGCCAGCTGGTGGGTCTAATATACATTCACAAATGTGGTGATGATATTTATACAATTATTACAATATTGCATAACAGTAAATCTATTTTTTGGTGTGAATAAAAATTCATTATGTGAATAAAAAATCGAAATGGAATTTATTTGTAAAGCCTCAAAACATAACTAATGAACAGAGGAAATGTTAGTTTAGTGCCAGGAATACCTACATTGTTTATTCTGGACCCTATTTTGAAATTGGAATATTTTGAACTTTGTGTTAAATTGGCCAAATTACCAATTTTCGATCACTTTATTTTGTAGTTGAAACAGTTGACTTGGTAATTTCTTGTGCTCAATCGATAGAACAGAAGTAATACTGGTGAAATAGCTAAGAATTTGGTTGACTGGAATAATGTAATTGGACTAAAATGGGAGTCAAAGTCGGCAAAATCGCCGATTCGTAAATATCGCTGACACATCAAAATTCACGAGAGCATAATTTCGTCAATTTTCCATCAAATTTTGTACTTTTTGTTTTATTACCTTCACAAAAAGATTCTCTACCATTTCATAAGAAAAAATAATTTTTTTTTTTTTTTGAAAATTCTTGGGCACTGGGGCACCACTTCAGATTTTAGCCTTGGACCCTGAAAGGGTTAAAGGCACTTGAGATTTTGGGGTTAGAGGACACTTCCATGCCACAGAGCTTACGCTTAATAAATTTCCAAACTTTCTCTATTGGATTTAAGCCTGTTGACTTTCCAATATAATTGGTAAGGTATGGAAAAATCACAATAATTTAGTCAATTTTTTAATATCTTTGGCAGTATGGCAAGAAGCACTGTCTTCCACAGAAGACAATTCTCCAATCTGTCAGGTACATAGTCTGCTAAAGGTGTGCTTATAGGCATACATATTTATGATGCCTACTGTATACAAGTATATATGTAGTATACACTGCATAAGTACATAATATGTATGTAGAGTGCATAGGTACAGAATATACATACTCTACAGTGCTGTATATGCAGTACACATACACTAAAATATACAGTATATAGTACATATTTGCATCTGGTATACAATATATTGCAGCCTTTTTGTATTTTCCAGTTTCTTATCCTGAAGCTTGAGAGACCAGCAGTTCTGAAGACTATAACCTTCGGCAAATATGAAAAAACTCATGTATGCAATATCAAGAAATTTCGTGTATATGGTGGACTCTCCGATGACAACATGATACTCTTATTGGAAAGGTACAATAAGTTAATGTGTTATTTTTATAAAGTGGCATTTGCTTTTATCTTTTTATATTAGGTACTGTAATTATATACAGTGGTCCCTCGTTTTTCGTAATTAATCCGTTCCTGGAGCCATTACTATAAACGAAATTTATGATTTACGAATCAATTTTCCCATAAGAAATAATGTAAATACAATTAATCCGTTCCTGACACCCAGAAGTATTAAAACAAAAAAATTTTTAACATGAAATATACATGTAGTACATAAACAATACAATGGGAAATGATGAATGAAACATTAACAGCATAACACTTACCTTTATTGGAGATTCTTCTTAGTGTATGGGAGACTGGAGGAGGAGAGAGAGTGGATTGTTTATAATTTGGAAGGGGAATCCCCTTCCATCAACACCTCAGGTACCATTTGCTTTTCTGGGGTTGCTTCTCTTCTCTGTTTCTTAATGCCACTAGGACCACCTTGAGAGTCACTGGAGTCCTGTCTCACAAAATAACTGTGGAGAGAGCTCTGTTTCTGGCATCTCTTTTAACATTTCCCTAAAATGGCCCAAGACTTTGTCACTGTACATGTTGCCAACCTGGCTTGCAACAACCTTGTTAGGGTGATGTTTCTCCATAAAGCTTTCCATCTTACCCCACATAGTAAAAATCTCTTTAATTTCTGAAGAAGGCACCTTCTTCCATCTCTCTTCCTCCTCCTCTGCAGCAAGATTCTGAGTTGCGATGTGTTGCTCTTCCTGCTGAAGCTCTTGCAGCTCCTCAGTGGTGAGCTCTTCATTGTGGTCTTCCACCAATTCTTCCACATCCTCCAAACTCACATCTAACCCCATGGAACTCCCCAGTGCCACAATTGATTTTACAACAGACATAGGCTCATTAGGGTCAGTCCCAAATCCTTCAAAACCCCTCTTGTCGACACAATCTGGCCACAATTTTCTCCAAGCAGAGTTCAAAGTCCTGGTAGTCACTCCCTCCCAAGCCATACCTATAAGGGTTATGCAGTGGAGGATGCTGAAGTGTTCTCTCCAAAATTCCCTTAGGGTCAAGTGAGTGTCTGTTGTCACAGTCAAGCACCTGTGAAACATTGCTTTTGTGTAGAGTTTTTTAAAGTGCAATAACCTGCTGGTCCATGGGTTGGAGGAGAGGAGTGGTATTCGGGGGCAAGAACTTTACTGTGATGAACCCAAACTCCTTGAAAATTAGGTCATCCAAGTTTGGAGGATGAGCAGGTGCATTGTCCATTAATAGCACGCACTTGAGATCCAATTTCTTTTCCAGGAGATATTCTTTCACACTAGGGCCAAACACTTCATTGAACCACTCGACGAAAATTTCCCTCGTTACCCATGCCTTACTATTAGATTTCCAAAACACACACAATTTACTCTTCATAACATTGTTTTTCCTGAACACTCTGGGATTTTCAGAATGGTACACTAGTAATGGCTTTACTTTGAAATCCCCACTAGCATTAGCACAGAACATTAGCGTCAGCCTGTCTTTCATAGGTTTGTGTCCTGGCATTGCCTTTTCCTCTTGTGTAATGAAGGTCCTCTTTGGCATTTTCTTCCAAAACAGGCCTGTTTCATCACAATTGAACACTTGTTCAGGTTTCAGTCCTTCAGCCTCTATGTACTCCTGGAATTCATGCACATATTTTTCAGCCGCCTTGTGGTCCGAACTGGCAGCCTCACCAAGCCTTACCACACTGTATATGCCAGTACGGTTCTTAAATCTCTCAAACAAGCCTTTGCTGGCCTTAAATTCACTCACATCACCACTATTTGCAGGCAATTTCTTTACCAGATCGTTGTGCAACTGCCTAGCCTTTTCACAAATAATCGAAGTCATAAGAGTATCTCCTGCTAATTGTTTCTCATTTATCCACACCAATAATAACTTCTCAACCTCTTCCAGTACTGGTGATCTCATTTTTGTCAGCATAGTTACTCCCTTTGAAACAACAGCATCCTTTATTTCCTTTTTCTTGGCCACTATGGAACATAAGGTTGTGTAGGGTTTCTTATACATCCTGGACAGTTCGGCCACACTTGTACCACTTTCATGTTGTTCAATGATGGTTTTCTTAAATTCAATCGTATTTCTCACCTTCTTTACCACAGGCTTGGCACTAGGAGCTTTCTTTGGAGCCATGGTAGCTTATTTAGTGCTTGCAAGCACTAAAATAAATGGAATATGAAATATTTCGCTGGAGCACGTGAGGGGACCTTCGCTCACTGGTAAACAATGCCAGACTGGCTGCCGCCCCGGCTCACGCAGTGGGTACTCGTCCCGGACGAACTACGACTCGTGAGTCAACCTATGAAAAGCAAGTCCATGTTTATACGAAAATACCCCTATGGTTGGCAAATTTTATGATTGCCGGGAACTACGAAAAGCGGGGGACTACTATAACTTAGGTACCTGACCAGCCGGGCTGTGGCTCGTACATTGGATTGCGTGCAGCCAGCAGTAACAGCCTGGTTGATCAGGCTCTGATCCACCAGGAGGCCTGCTCACAAACCGGACCGCGGGGGCGTTGACCCCCGGAACTCTCTCCAGGTAAACTCCAGGAGAGATGAAACATATACATACTGTATTAAAAATTAATACCAAAAATTAATAATACCATATTTATTTATTGAACTGAACTTTCGTATCTGTGCACCTCTACAAAGACAGTGATTATGTGAATGATCGCGAAATTTTTTTTTCTTTTTTGGGTCACCCTGCCTTGGCAGGAGATGACTAGCATGTTGAAAAATAAAAAGAAGTAAATGTTTATACTATACAGTGGATGCTTGTTAATCCAACATAAAAATGAATGGAAATGTGATTAGCTACCTACCTCTTTGTAGTTACAGAAGAGTTATGTGCTTGGTGTCTTGTCTTCAGTGTTTAATTTGGCACAAGCAGCCCATATGAAGGTGACCAATATTTTTTCTTATATTGTACTGTATTGAATATTGCAATTTTATACACTGAACCCACTGCAGTGCTTCACTGTACTAAAGTTATTCCAAATCCAGGATTGGCATTCTGGTATAAGTTGGGTGTTGGTATGTTCTTCTTAAGGCTGAATTTTACAGCAACATTGGGCTTCCATTGTTTTTTGTAAAATATAGTTTGGTGTTGTCTCTAAGAGCTGAGTCTATGATTTTTTGTTTGTAGCTGCAATTGGATTTGTGAGAGATAGAAGATAGAATAGAACAAAATCATAGAATTAGCTCATAAAGACACTATGCCAAAGTGTATTACTATCTCATATAGATGTATCTTTTCTTTGCAATACTAATGCTCGTGCCACATGCTCATGAGTACTAAAAAACATTTAATATCATAAGGAATCATATAATATCATAAAGAACTAGTGTACATAATGTTAGGCATTGAAAACATAAAACAGTTGATAAATCAAAATTTGGCATAAATAAATTATAGAACATTAGTACTGCTGTACACATGTCACTGTTGCTACCTAGTGATAATTTTTTTTGCAACATTATAAAACTATTAGTTTTCTTATAATTTCATTTTTCTTTTTGTAGTTCTACTTAGAAAAATTTGTTCTTTCAAACTTTTTTTTTTCCTCAAAATTACCCCACACAGAGTAATTAACAGTGCTTGACCTCCCACAGTTTAACGGTTAATTAATTGTATTGCATAAATACACAGATGCTGTAATAGGATATACAGTGGTACCTCGAGTTATGAAATTAGTTCGTTCCAGAAGGTTGTTCGAGTGCCGATACCGAACAAATTTTTTCCCACAAGGAATAATGTAAATTAGATGTCCATTTCAGACCCCCAAAAATGCACTTACAAAAGCACTTACAAAAATAAACTTACATAATTGTTCGGGTTGGGAGCTGTTTGAAACTCAAGGTACCACTGTAAATAAATAAATAGAGAAGAAAGTTGAAAGTGAACATAGATAAGAGGGTGATGATGGTATCAAATGATACCACATTGGAGGGAGGGGGTATGGAAGAAGTGAATGTGTTCAGATATTTGAGAGTCGACTTGTCAGCAGATGGGTTTATGAAGGTCGAGGTTAAGCATAGAATTGATGAGGGAAAAAAGGTGAGTGGTGCTTTGAGATATCTGTGGAGACAAAAAATGTTATCCATGGAGGCAAAGAAGGGAATGTACGAGAGTATAGTGGTACCAACACTTACATGGATGTGAAACATGGGTTGTAAATGCTGCAGCAAGGAGGAGGCAGGAGGCAGTGATGTTGTGTCTAAGGGCAGTGTGTGGTGTAAATAATATGCAGAGAATTCATAGTGTGGAAATTAGGAGGAGGTGTAGAATTACTAAAAGTATTAGTCAGAGGGGTTGTTGAGGTGGTTTGGTCATTTAGAGAGGATAGAACAAAGTAGAATGACTTGGAGAGCATACAAATTTGTAGTGGAAGGAAGGTGGGCTAGGAGTTGTCCTAGGTAAGGTTGGAGGGAAGGGGTAAAGGAGATTTTGTGGACAGGCGGCTTGGACTTCCAGCAAGCGTGCGTGAGTGTGTTAGATAGGAGTGAATGGAGACAAATAGTTTTTGTGACATGACAAACTGTTGGAGTATGAGCAGGGTGATATTTTGTTATGGGATTTAGGGAAAGCAGTTAGCCAGACTTGAGTCCTGGAGATGAGAAGTACAATGCCTTCATTTTAAAGGAGGGGTTTGGGATATTGGCTGTTTGGAATGACATGTAAACTGTCATATCTGGGTGCCTCTGCAAAGACAGTGATTTATGTATGAATGATGGTGAAAGTGTTGAATGATGATGATTTTTTTTTTTTTTTTTTTTTTGGGGGGGGGGGGGGGGTCATCCTGCCTTGGTGGGAAACAGCCGACATGTTAAAAAAATTATTATAAATGATTACAATTTAATCAGTGTATTATCCCTTTACAGTGGTTTAAAAAATGACACAGTTCCTGAGACATTCCTATTAAAACATACCGTCTCAGGGCACCAGTTTCCCGTCCGATTTGTGAAGATTGTACCACTTCAAGTAAGTTATTGTCTTCTAAAATACTTTTTTCATCTTAAGGAGGGGTGTTAATGTTGCAGTTTAAAAACTGTAGTGTAAAGCACCCTTCTGGCAAGACAGTGATGGAGTGAATGATGGTGAAAGTTTTTCTTTTTCGGGCCACCCTGCCTTGGTGGGAATCGGCCAGTGTGATAATAAAAAAAAAAATAATTTTCTCCCTGTAGCCTCATTAGTTGAAACATCCTTAAGAGTTATTTAACTTGTGCAAGATTCATTGTTGCAACTCCCATTTCTTTAAGTGGCTTGGTTTTATAAGAGCCCTCATGAGCTTAGTACTGTACCATATTACATCTGTATCACAATCAGTCTTAATGAATGCATATTAGTCACACAAATTTGGCTGGTTAAATATACGTGTGAGCAGGGTAATATTTTGTGAAGGGGTTCAGGGGAACCAGTTAGCCAGATTTGAGTCCTGGAAATGGGAGGTACAATGCCTGCACTTTAAAAGAGGAGTTTGGGATTTTGGGGGCGTTTGGATGACATCAAAAAGTCGATCTGGGCGCCTCTAAAAGACAGTGATTAATTGAGTGAGGGTTGGTGAAAGTGCTAAAAAGATAAGGGAAAGTTTTTTATTTCTTTTGGGTTTTCTTTTTTTTTTGGGTCACCTTCCCTAGGGGGAAAAATCCCCGACATTTTAAAAAAAATATTTTTTACGTGGAACGTCAAATATCGAACTTTTTCTTTTCCAGACGGTGTTCAGTGCCGTTCCCAAAAGAATTTTTTCCCATCAGGAAAAAATTTGAAAATTAATTAATTTCTTTTTCCAGACCCTAAAAAAATACATTAAAAAAAAGCATTTTAAAAAAAATACACTTACAAAATTTGGGCCCGAGTTGGGGGGTTCGATATTTGAGGCTCCACTTTATATATGTATGTTTTGTATGTGTATATATATATTATTTATATTTTTTTTTTTTTTCCAACAAGTGGGCCCCGGGTCTCCCACCGAGGACGGTGAAAAAAAAAAGAAAAAAAAACCCCAAAAAAAGAAAAAAAACTTTCATTATCATTCAACGTTTTTACCAAACTAAACCTTTAAACACTGTTTTTGCAGAGGGGGTTTCAAAAAAAACATTTTTAGAAGCATATACGTATCAAGATACACAACAAAATTTTTCTCCAAAAAAATATCCAAACCCCCCCTTTTAAAGGGGCGGGGAAATTGGGGTATTCCCTTTTCCCGGGACTCAAGCCCACTATATGAAATTTAAAGGGGGGTTTCCCTGACCCCTTCACTAAATATTCCCCCGCTCACACCCCAAAAACAATGTCAGGCCCCCAAATACCATTGGGCTCCATTCATTTCCTATCAAACCACCTCATGCACGCTTGCGGGAAAAGCCCCAAGCCCCTCGCCCAAAAAAACCCCCTTTTTACCCCCTCCCTCCAAACCCTTTCGAGGACGACCCCAAACCCCCCCTTTCCTTCCCCTTTTGTTTTTATATCCCTTTCCATGTCTTTCTATTTTGTCCCTTCCTCTAAATGCCCAAAAACCCCCTCAACAACCCCTCTTCTGCCCTCTGACAAAATTTTTCTTATTAACCCCCACCCCTTTTTCCAAAATTTCCCAAAATCCAAATTTTCTAAATAATTTTTTACACCACACATTCCCCCTTAAAACAGGACATCTCCACTGCCCCCCAACCGTCTCCTCGTTACTGAAATTTACCCCCCAAGTTCACACCCATATAAGATTTTTGGGGACAAACTATACTTTCATACCCTTCCCCTTTTTTGCCCCCATTGATAACGTTTTATGACTCCACATATACCTCAATCACCACTCACCTTTTTTCCCCCATTTAATTCTATGGAAATTTAAACCCCATCCTTCATAAATCCCTCCACCGACACGTCAACTCCCAAGTATCTGAAAACATTCACTTCTTCCATACTCCTCCTCCCCAATTTGATATCCAATTTTTCTTTATCTAAATCATTTGATACTCTCATCACCTTACTATTTTCTATGTTCACTTTCAACTTTCTACCTTTACACACATTCCCAAACTCATCCACTAACCTTTGCAATTTTTCTTTAGAATCCCCCATAAGCACAGTATCATCAGCAAAAAGCAACTGTCAGATCCCATTTTGTATTTTTTTTATTATTATTATTATTAACACACTGGCCAATTCCCACCAAGGCAGGGTGGCCCGAAAAAGAAAAACTTTCACCATCATTCACTCCATCACTGTCTTGCCAGAAGGGTGCTTTACACTACAGTTTTTAAACTGCAACATTAACACCCCTCCTTCAGAGTGCAGGCACTGTACTTCCCATCTCCAGGACTCAAGTCCGGCCTGCCGGTTTCCCTGAACCCCTTCATAAATGTTACTTTGCTCACACTCCAACTGCACGTCAAGTATTAAAAACCATTTGTCTCCATTCACTCCTATCAAACATGCCAGCTGGAAGTCCAAGCCCCTCGCACACAAAACCACCTTTACCCCCCTCCCACCAAACCCCTTTCCTAGGCTTTACCCTACCCCGCCTTCCTTCCGCTACAGACTGATACACTCTTGAATTCATTCTGTTTCGCTCCATTCTTTTCTACATGTCCGAACCCACATAACAACCCTTCCTCAACCCTCTGGACAACAGTTTTGGCAATCCCGCACCTCCTCCTAACTTCCAAACTACGAATTCTCTGCATTATATTCACACCACACATTGCCCTCAGACATGACATCTCCACTGCCTCCAGCCTTCCTCTCGCTGCAACATTCATCACCCCTGCTTCACACCCATGTAAGACGTTTGGTAAAACTATACCTCATACATTCCCCTCTTTGCCTCCAAGGACAAAGTTCTTTGTCTCCACAGACTCCTAAGTGTACCGCTCACCCTTTTCCCCTCATCAATTCTATGATTCACCTCATCTTTCATAGATCCATCCGCTGACATGTCCACTCCCAAATATCTGAATACATTCACCTCCTCCATACTCTCTCCCTCCAATCTGATATCCAATCTTTCATCATCTAATCTGATATCCAATCTTTCATCACCATAATTTAATCCCACCCCTCTCCCGAACACCCTAGCATTTACTTCTTTTACAACCCCATCTATAAATATATTAAACAACCATGGTGACATTACACATCCCTGTCTAAGATCTACTTTTACCGGGAAGTAGTCTCCCTCTCTTCTACACACCCTAACCTGAGCCTCACTATCCTCATAAAAACTCTTCACAGCATTTAGTAACTTACCACCTATTCCATATACTTGCAACATCTGCCACATTACTCCCCTATCCACTCTATCATATGCCTTTTCTAAATCCATAAATGCATAAAAACTTCCCTACTTTTATCTAAATACTGTTCACATATATGCTTCAATGTAAACACTTGATATACACATCTCCTACCCACTCTGAAACCTCCTTGCTCATCCGCAATACTACATTCTGTCTTACCTCTAATTCTTTCAATTATAACCCTACCGTACACTTTTCCTGGTATACTCAGTAAACTTATTCCTCTATAATTTTTACAATCTCTTTTGTCCCCCTTCCCTTTATATAAAGGGACTATACATGCTCTCCGCCAATCCCTAGGTACCTTCCCCTCGTTCATACATTTATTAAACAAAAATACCAACCACTCCATCACTATATCCCCTCCTGCTTTTAATATTTCTCTCATGATCCCATTAGTTCCAGCTGCTTTACCCCCTTTCATTCTACATGATGCCTCACGCACCTCCCCCACACTCACATCCTGTTCTTCTTCACTCCTAAAAGATGGTATACCTCCCTGGCCAGTGCATGAAATTACCGCTTCCCTTTCTTTGTCGATTTAAAAAGATTTAAAAGATCTATACTGTATAATAGTTGTAAGATTTTATATAAGTGTTTTGAAATTCTGATTCTTATAAGAATACAGTATATTACTTGTAGCAATTAATTATATTATTTCTATGTATGTAAGTAGTGTAGGTGGTGTATGTTTTAATAGAGGCTTTCAAAATTGTGTTTTTTGGTACCTTGCTTTCTTACCAAGGACATAATTTAGAATCAGTAGCAGTGAGTTTATTCAAAAGGTTGTATATTATATATGCTGTTACCATAATATCAAAAATTGCATTCCTTATTTTTCAGTCTTGGGGTTCAACATTCAACTTTAGCATCTGGCATGTAGGTCTCCGTGGTTGTGATGATTGGGCTGTGGTACAGAAGTGTATCAACTGGTATACAACAGTAAGTTTCCCAGGTTTTAAATTTAATTTCTTCATTATATTCTTTCCTACTACTATCTTTTTTCTTTCTTCTCACACATTTAAACTGGTCAGTGTAACTTCTGTCCATACTTTAACCTGGTTATAAATATTTTTCTTGAAGGTTAACCTCACATCTCATTTGATTTATCTCTTATTATTTTTTCCTAGGCCTCCCCCATTCCCACCATTATGATGAATAGACTAAACCTCAGTCACTCCTGCTTTTTAATAAACCCCTTCAGTTGCTTAGATAAAATACTTCAGTGCTGTTTTATAGCATGCTAACCACACATCCTTGCAGTTGTTGAAATGTTGAGAATAAAAAAGGCACAATGCTGTGCCTGGAACAATACACAAATAACCCTCACATAGGGACTGAAACTCTCCCTTCTTTTTAGTACCGAGAACGAGAAGCTATTCGGCTGTGTCTGAAGCACTTCCGCCAACACAACTACACTGAGGCATTTGAATCCCTAGAAAAACGAACTCGGGTAACTTTAGAAGATCCTCGGTTGACACAGCTTCATAAACTGCTTGTGGAAAATGGAGACTTCGATGCATGTGAAGAACTTATTAGCCAGGCAGCCCAGGGTATGTCTGCATTTTTTAAAGGGAATTTAAAAACATAAACCCTATTTGCCATTAATTACAGTTTTAAAACTGTAATTGTAAATTTTTTCAATTTTTTTAAAGTGATATAAAATTTTTTTTTAGTTTTTAGGATTTATATTATATGAATAGAGTATGTAGTACATTTAGTAACCTGTAAACGGCCCCGAACATATATATACGTTCTCAACTGCTAGTGCCCCGAATGTATTAAACGTTTATTTTTCCTTGCTTCAAATATGCACGATTGGCCCTGGAATGCCTTTCAGCATAGAATGGGTCATAAACACTCGTGTGCACGTATTAAAAAAATAGGGGGAAACCACTTAGTACCTTGTGGAGCACCAGTTCAAATGAGCGCCAGCTAGAGCAACGCAAGGCAAACATCGGGATTCACTTTATCATGTAGTATTAACTCTCCATTTTAAGAGGAAAGTGATGTTGACCTAGTTTAGGGGGTTTTGAGGTGGATTGGTCATAATGTGAAGGAAATATAAAAAAAAAACTCGATAATAACTTGTGAAAACATTTGTGCAAAAACCCATTCAAATGTCTTATAAACCTAAGCCCAAAGTAAAGAGAAACAATTTGGAAGTAATACTTGTTCAGAGGCTGGCTGACTTTTGTTTGGGCTGGTGCACTGGCTGGCCAACTGCGTGGCTTGGGGCTGCTGGCAACCTGCTCCGTTTGTTTGGCTGTGTCTATCTCTGACTTTCTCTTTACACTGTATCTGTGTCTGTCTGTCTCTACCTATCTGTCTGTGTCTATCTCAATGTTTCTGTCTATCTCTGTCTCAAAGGTACACATAAATACAAGTATACATAGGGTAAAATCCCTAGGATAACAAAAATCCAGACAAAAGTGCTATACTCTGCTGAAGTTATGAGTAAACTTGATGACGCAGTCTTGTGGCTCTCTCTGAGACAGAGAGCTAGACGGATAGACAGATAGACAGATAGACAGGGAGCTTAATAGACAGACAGATAGACAGAGAGACAGACATGTTTGTGTGCCAGCAAAAACAAAGCGAGCTTCAAGGGAACTTATTATTATTATGATTCTCTTTTTTTTTTAACACAGGGTTTGACAAGGTTAGGATCCCGTTTTATTGACAGCTATTTACGGGTTAAGGATTTTTTAACTTTTTGACAAGCAAGGCTGTTACCTGCTCAGCTCAAATGAAATAATTTTTATGGTTATAGACATACAAGTAGGGAACGGGTGAAGTTGGAGCCTTTCTGGGGGCCCAGCATTTTCATTTGACAACGACGTACGGTTGACATTTTATGCGGTTACGAAGTGTTCCAACCGGTCATCCTGGGAATATGATCTAGAGGGTGTGTTTGGAGAAGGTACACCCAGAGTGAAGGGTTTGCTGCTTTATGCCATCTTGGGCTAAAGTTTTTTCACGCTGCCCTTTGAAGTGGATCCAAGGTGGTATTTTGCAATAATTGGTTTTACATAAAGTAAGGCCACCCACACTTCCATTTGAAGGGAAATGAAAGACATACTTTCTTTTCCTCTTCCCTTCTTTCTCCTCTCTTTCTCTTCTTCATTTTTTTTCTTTTTTCTTTTCCCTTTCCTTTCTCTTCTCCTTGGGCTCTTGTTCCTCCTTTCTCCTTTTCCTTTTTCCTTCTTCTTCTCTTCCCATCCTTCCTTTGGCTTTCCAATCTCTTCTCTCTCTCCTCTTCTTTTTCTTCTCTTCTCTCTTCTCTTCTTCTTTTCTTTTCTTCTTTTCTTCTTCTTCTTTCTCTTCTTCTTCTCCTTCTCTTCTTTTTCCCCTTCTTTTTTCTTCCCCAAAATCTTTCTTCTTCTTCTCCTTATTTCTCTTCTCTTTCCTCCATTCATTTCTTCTCTCTCCAATCTCATTCTCTTCTCCTTCCCTCCTTCTTCTTCTCTCTCCTCTTCCCTCTCCCCTTTCCTTCCTCCTCCTCCCCCCCCCTTCCACCACTCCCTCCTCCCCACTCCCTCCTTCCTCCCCCCCCCCCCTCCCTCCCTCCCTCCCCCCTCCCCTCCCACCCTCCCCCCCTCCCCTCCCCCCCTCCCTCCATCCCACCTCCCTCCCTCCCCTCCCTCCCCCCCTCCCCCCCCTCCCTCCCTCCCCCCCTCCCCTCCCCCTCCCTTCCCCTCACCCTCCCTCCCCCCTCCCTCCCCTCCCTCCCTCCCCTCCCTCCCTCCCCTCCCTCCCCTCCCCTCCCCCCTCCCCTCCCCCCATCCCCTCCCCTACCCTCCCTCCTCCCATCCCCCCCCTCCCTCCCCTCCCTCCCTCCCCCTCCCCCCTCCCTCCCCTCCCCCCCTACCTCCTCCCCCTCCCTTCCCTCCTCCCTCCCCTCCCTCCCCTCCCTCCCTCCCTCCCCTCCCTCCCTCCCCTCCCTCCCCCCCCTCCCCTCCCCTCCCTCCCCTCCCCTCCCCCCCTCCCTCCCTCCCCTCTCCCTCCCTCCCCTCCCTCCCTCCCTCCCTCCTCCCACCTCCCTCCCCCCTCCCTCCCCCCCCTCCTCCCCTCCCTCCCCCCCTCCCTCCCCCCTCCCTCTCCCCCCCCTTCCCCTCCCTCCCTTCCTCCCCCCCCTACTACTACTATTACTACTATTATTATTTACACTTAGGTCACACTACACATATATGTATATGTTTATTTATACACACTCATATGAGTTTTCTTTGATTTTATCTTAATAGTTCTTGGTTTTATTACTTTTCCTTTTGTATCCATGGGGAAGTGGAATAAGAATCTTTCCTCTGTAAGTCATGCATGTTGTGGAAGTCAAGTAAAATGCCAGGAACAATGGGCTAGTAACCTCTTTTCCTGTAATAATTACTAAAAAGAATAAGAAGAAAATTGTCAAAGTGGGAAGTCTGAATGTGCGTGGATGTTGTGCAAATGATAAGAAAGAGATGATTGTGGATGTTATGAATGAGAAGAAGCTGGATGTCCTGGCTTTAAGTGAAACAAAGCTGAAGGGGGTGGGAGAGTTTCAGTGGAGAGGAATAAATGGGATTAGGTCAGGGGTTTCAAATAGAGTTTAGAGCTAAAGAAGGAGTAGCAATAATGTTGAAGGATAAGTTATGGCAGGAAAAGAGGGACTATAAATGTATTAATTCAAGGATTATGTGGAGTAAACTAAGGTTGGGTGTGAGAAATGGGTTATAGTAAGCATATATGCACCTGTAGAAGAGAAGTGTAGAGGAGAGAGAGAGATTTTGGGAAATGTTGAGTGAGTGCGTGGGGAGTTTTGAACCAAGCATGAGAGTAATGGTGGTTGGGGATTTCAATGCTAAAGTGGGCAAAAAATGTTGTGGAGGGAGTAGTAGGTAAATTTTGTGTGCCAGGGGTAAATGAAAATGGGGAGCCTTTAATTGAGCTATGTGTAGAAAGAGGTTTCATAATAAGTAATACATATTTTATGAAGAAGAGGATAAATAAATATACAAGGTATGATATAGCACGTAATGAAAGAAGTTTGTTAGATTATGTATTGGTGGATAAAAGGTTGATGAGTAGGCTCCAGGATGTACACGTTTATAGGGGCAACTGATATATTGGGTCATTATTTAGTTGTAGCTACAGTTAGAGTAAGAGGTAGATGGGAAAAGAGGAAAATGGCCCAAAAACAAGTAAAGGGAGGGGAAAGTGTATAAACTAAGGGAGGAGGAAGTTCGGGTGAGATTATTTTAAAATTTTTTTTTATCAAGGGATTAGGGGGGGGAAAAAGAAAACTTTTATCATTGTATATGTTTGCCCGAAGGGGTTTACACTACAGTTTTTCTTTAAATTTTTTTATGCAGTTCCATTGGAACTTTTTTTTAAAAAACCCTTAAAAAATTTACTTGCCAACAGTAAAGCCGTTGAATTTAAAAATGATATTTGTATTGTCTGATAAAAATTTGTTTATAGCATGGCTGCAGGAAGTAGGCCCGCTATCAATACAAACCCTTACCCCCCTAATTAGCGTACCCCGTTTACTAAGATGATTTTGGTTTCTGTTGTATTTCTAATGTACAGAACCACCTAAACCTTCTCAGTCTGGAAAAGTTTTGGCCGACTCTTAATTCCCTAAATTCTATATTATTTCCACCAAATTTCGATGAATTATGTCCAGCTTTCCTGTGGCATACATTGAACCCTTAAATTTTAAGGCGTTGGAAAAAATACTTATCATTCCCTTTTTCCCAAACAAGTTCTTTGTTCACAGACTTAATGACATAATCTTTTTTCAAATTTATATTCCTATTTTTATAGTCCGTAAGTATCCCAAAAAATTGAATGGGTGAGTATAACAATTGGAGAACAGTGGTGCAAGTATGAGATTGAGGGGGGGGGGGGTTTAAGAGTTTTAGAATAGTTTTAAAAATGCAGTATTAGAATGTGGGGCAGAAGTTTGTGGTTATAGGATGGTGGGTGCAGGAGGAAAGATGAGTGATTGGTGGAATCAATCAATCAAGTTTATTCTCTGTAAGGATTACAATGCAGGGTTTACAGATTTTGGATATTGTGTGGTTTACATGTTATAAAATACTAATTACAGAGGGGGCCACTAGGACACCTAGCATGGCTAGGCATTTCGGGCAGACTTAGGTTAATTCTTAACTCTATATTATTACAAATTATGGAGTGAGTTGGTATTGTGGCTAAGTGACTAAATTATAATTTGTGAGTTTAGCAATGTGAATGCTTTTGTTTTGGTACAGTACATAGTTTCTCTATTGAAGTATCACAGGCAAACTTATGACTAGTTAGGATTCATTATTTTAAGATTAAGATTCGTATTTCTGTGTTTATAGTCAAGTGGGTGAGTGAGTGAGTGTAAATGTGAACCACCAGGTGGTTTTCATGTACTGTAGTTAGTTGATGGGGTGTATCAGGGAGATAAGATGTTTTCTAAAGGTATTTTTGAAGGTGATGAATGTGTCTGCATTCTAGAGTTTTCAGGTAGGGTGTTCCAGACTTTAGGGCCTTTGACATACATTGAATTTTTGTAAAAGTT